ACTGCTGACCTTTTGGTTAGCAGCTGAGCTCTTAACCACTGTACCACCAGAGCTGCCTATTTATATGATAGACTCTATTAATGCAAAATTTCATAGAAACTTAGATATTCTCAACCTAAATAAATGCATGAACAAATTTATAAATACAATTCGTATATTAATTATGTCTAATAATAAAGCTTTAAGCTTTTTTTTAGTTTTAAAATTTATTTTATCTACAATGTTATTTATTTATTTTTGTTATTATCTTGTGCAACACCCAGCTGGGATAGCACATGCTTGATTGAGCTCAGAGACTACTACTTATTTCTCCAATTATCTAACAATTCTATTAAGTAAATATAGAGTAATACATGAAACAATAGCACCTTTTGAGATAATGAATAACATGCTTCCCATTTAGGAAAATGATACCAGCTAAGATTCCAGTTCTACAAAACCTTTTCATGTTGTCAGTGATGGCAATGGGCAAACTGACACTCTCATACTATTGGCCCAGTGTAAACTAGTCCAAACTTTTGGGCAGTAAATAGCTATCAAAATTTAGGATGCATATACTTGTTGACCAGAATCGTACTTCCAGGAGCTTATCGGGTAGATACAATCATACAGATTTTTTTGTGTGTAAGGATATTCACTGCAGAAAAACACTGGAAAGAACTAAATGGGTCTCCTTTCTCAATTATGATACAATGGACTATTTTACAATGTCCATATATAGTTGGTGTGTGTGTATATACACATATATATATATAAATTTATGGAATATGTTAGAAAATATTTGTAATGCTAGTATACATATATTTCCAAAATGCATTTCAAGTAAGCTAGTGAGGCACGATCAAATCTTTAGTCTAAGATTATACCTCAAAGATATTATTTCACAGGTAATGTAGGACACTGATTATGTATATATTTGAAAATTATAAAACAATAAACTATAAATCAAAGTGACTGACATGAAACCAAATGATGATCAAATTGTAACATCACAGCATTTCAGAGCTAAAAGGAGCCTAAAAGTCAACACTGTGTGAATTTTCTGCAAAAGGGAAATAACTTCGATTCCAGTGTTCCCAGAATGTGTTCCACATAACACTAGAAGTTGGGTGAAAATAAGATTCCATGTTAAAAAAAAAAAACTGAGGAAGCTCTGCTTAAATGTAATAAGATATGGTTAATTCAAAACCATCTAAAAGCCTCTAGCATACTAACGTGCACTGTGAACCTCCTAAAGGAGGATAATATATCCAGGATTCTCCAAATTCTTTTGGACAGTCACCTCTTGATTTAACAAATATCATCAGGATAGACCAGTGCTGTGCAGAACACATTTTGGGAAAGACTGGTCGAGACATACATATTCCACATTTATGAAAGAAATGAAATTTCATTTTAAGAATATGTCCAACCATTCTAAAAACTAAGCTACCATGCTCCAAAACTTTAAATAAATACAAGATAGGTAGACAAACACGTAGTCACTCTAATCATACAAGGTCAGAGCTGCCCAGCGTGGAATAATTTTAACATTTAGCATACATCCACAGCGTAACTGATGCATGTGGTGGTCATCGGTATCTTGTTCATTTCTGAAGCTCTAAGTGCTTGATTTGGAATGTTCTCAGTAAATTCTGAATTCCAATTTACCTGAATGTGGAATTTGCTGGTGAATTTGGGTACTCACTATGTTAAAATCTCCCTCACAGAGGAATCTAAAATAATACTACCTTATGTTTAGGAAGCTTTTTTCCTCTCTATAGTTTTAAAATAACAAAAATAACAACAA